TTGAATTAAAATGTTGACTATAGAGGTCTAAACTATTTTATACTCATAGACTCAGACATACATAATATTGAGTTGCAGTGTTGAGTTTTGGTTTTATTGTTTATTTAGGAGTAGTTTTTATTTGCTTTTCAAATTTTTACTATGGTTGCTGTATTAAGCCATTGAAAGCTGTCAGATTCTGTTTTTAATTGTTAGTCATTCAAAATCATTTATGTGATATGGGTAGCAAAATTAAAATAGATTATTTAAATCTATTAAATAAACATAAATTGCAATATAAATTACAAGCAGTGATGCTTTAGCTAAAAATGTATTACATGGTTTACCTATTAAGAAATTCAATATTGCAAATAATAGTAATAATTGTTTATTTAATTTGTTTGCTGCCTGATTCTCAACAACTCTAGCTATCTTACAACAATCAAAGAAGTTATCAGAAAAATATAGAATAGTGAAATATAGTAATAGCTAAAAGTAATTAAAGCATTACTAGATTTGAACAATAGGTTAAATGTTTGAATATGATTTGCTTTAGTATAAATGGCACTGGGAAGGGATTTTGCTTAAAGTGCAATGGTGGTAAAATTAAGAATTATAAGGGGATAAATAATTGAAAATATAAATTAAAAATGGGACTAATGAATTATACAAATTGTTATACAAATTATACAAATTGCAGATTTGATGAGTAATACAGAATTTATAATAAAAGAAAGGATGTTAAGAATGTAGAGATTGACACAAAATAGTATATGGGAATATTGAAGAATTAAAATTAAGATTGATAAGACGTATTAATACAACATTATATAAGAAAGTCAACAATATTCATGCAAAATTATTGTCATATTTGTTTTTAAAATGTAAAACACTCTGCGACCACACTGTTCACACAGTAAGTTGTTTGTAACAATTAAAAATAATAAAAATGTATTTAAAAAAAGAAATAAATAAAGATGGCAAGTGCGATGAAGTGAGGATTCTCAGTCTTCCTTGCCGGAGGCTTAGGTGAAGAGCTAGAAGCTTCATTTTCAGCATGTTATCACTACTAACAAAGGCAGTCACCTAGCCAGTTTTCAATGCCAAACGAAGGCCTAAAATTGATTGCCTGCTTGTTTCTAGGCCATCCCATTAATTGCCCAAATGCTACATTCAACTCTGCAGTGTGTCATACAGCATAGAATTGTTCTAGGACAATAAAGGTTTGCTGTATTATTTTCAGTGGCAATCATTTGCTACCACTAGAGAAATAAATACACAATAAGAGAGTTGGAAGCAGTGGTGGGATTCAAATAATTTAACAACCAGTTCTCTGCCCTAATGGCTGGCTGGGTGGGTGTGGCTATGGTGGGCATGGCCAGGGAATGGGACAGGCAGCACTCAGCCTCCCTGCAACCCTCTGGGAGCAAAAACGGGCCACAGAGGGGGCCACACCGCACACACACACACACACACACACACACACACAGCGTGCCCCATTTTGGACCTAGTAGGACTCCTGGAAGGGGGGAGAGGGGGGACGGGACCAGCCATCCAGTTCAGCCGAAGTGGTGCGAACCGGTTGAATCCCACCACTGGTTCAAAGGGACCTTGGAGGTCTTCTAGCCCAACCCCAGCTCAAGCAGAAAACCCTATAACCTTTCAGACAAACAGTTATCCAATCTCTTCTTAAAAACCTCCAGTGTTGGAACACACACAACTTCTGGAGGCAAGGCAAGGCATTCCACTGATTATTTGTTCAAACTGTCAGAAAACAGGTACATATTTGGAGTAGAATTTAGCCAATTCTGTTTCTCTCATGATCCTTCCTTCTATCTGCAGTGCTCTCATCCAGGTTGAGGAACGATGCAGTATATACCCAGAAATACTATATGATAGTAGAAACAAAAGCAAAATACACACATATTGTCCTGCTTTTTAAGAACATGAGAAGAAGAAGAAAAAATCTACTAACTAAACAAAAGATTACCAAATTCTTGTCTATGTTTTCTGTGTTCCCATAGTGACTAGTCAGAAGACTTTGTAAGCCAGATATATGTATATTACAGCTCACATTTCACACAGATATTGTGAAGAGGCAATCTGCCTCTGATTCTAAAGACATTTCATCAGTTACTAAGCTTTATTTTCTGCCACCATGGGTTTTTTTCCATTGAAAACAAATTGGCTATTTTCACATCATATGGAATTTTGAAGCTCAGCTTGATCCTTTGAAGAGGGACAATCCTGAATGGGCCACTCTTAAATTCTTCGCCTCAGCTAAGTTAAAATGTCTCCATGTCTATGTTTTCCATACCATGCATAATTTCAAAATATCTCAACAGTATTGGGATTCCTTTTCTAAGCTAAAACAATAGACTGTAAAGATATGCTTTGCGGAGGGAGGGAGGGTAATATCCATACTTGGAATACCACAGTTGTGAGTAATCTTTCCTCATATGTGGCTACCAATCTCGCGTCAGGGAGCAGGGACACCACCAAACACCTTGAACTTTAATTCAGGCGTAGGCAGAGACCCAGATGGTCTGTCTACCAAGATACTTTTCTGACACCACAGTTTGTACTAGGGGAAGCTTTGTTTTTAGCAGCCCCACATGCTGTATCTTAGTACTCATGAGGTTTAATATTTGAGTATAAAAGTTTCTGGGCATGTGAATAGCATGACTCAGATGTTTCCAGAAAGGGAAAGAGAGGATGCTGTTAATTATTACCATCAGTGACTCATTCAGTAGAAAAGCTGGATGAAGACACACCTGTAAACAGCACCTCTTCAAGAATTTCAAGATCTGTTTCCAGAATATTTAACACTCACCAGTGAAATTCTCCAGATACCTTGGACAAAACATGCTTGTATGTTACTAACGTAACTCCCTCATGACAACGTTAATATGAAATAAGATATACCTGAGAATGATGCCGTGATTTCCTGGAGGAAAAGGCAAAATGGAAATGTATAGTATCAGTCACATCATATCTATGGGGCCAAGGCTTAGTAGACAAGTAAATATAGGATGGTATTCATCAGGCAAGAAGGGGCTGATCTGGACATCCCAGTTTAATTGCCTTCACCAGCAAGTTACTTTTTATTTAATATTTAGAGGTAGAATCCATTTATAATTGCCAAACTCAGCTTGCGTTAATAGGCATGATTTTACAGACTTTTTTCATTAGAATTAAGAGATCGAAAGATAATAATAATCACAAATGCCAAGCTTTGTGATGTAATCTTCAAAGAGAATTTGAAGTAGCTTCGACAAAGCCCTTTTGTTCACAATATTCATTTGATTGCTCTAGCCACCCCGTTCCCATTTCCCCTAGGAATATTTCCCATGGGGTTATAATCTGGAAAGCTAGGTCACCTAGTAAGTTGAGTTACCACACGTTGTAATTTCTTGATCATACCAAGATGCATTTTAAAGCTTAGAGCAACAGTAGCAACTTCATGATAAATTTCACGATAAAAAAGTTCCCCAGTTCTGCTTAAATATTTTATAGTAGGCAAAGCTGTCAAAGTCCATCATGTTAACATAGTGCTTGGAGCATAGCTTGTAAAGGGGAAAATGTCTTTTGATATCACTTTTAGGAAAACCCTTACACCTATTGAATACAATTAAAATTCAGAACAACTTAAAGGTGCTTTGATATCTGCGTATTTAGACTGGCTCTATGCAGATACAGCATCTTACCATTGTTCTTCTGTTTTTCTTTAACTATGGCATTATGACAACTAGCAAGCTTCATGACCTATATTTGATTTGTTGGGTAGCAAATTATGTCAGCTTTTTGTGAAGCAGCCTTCCCCTCCCAGACTCCAGATAGATTAGTGGGAAATTTTAGCATTGTTTATCATGACATCTAGATGCTACCACACTGGAGGAGATGTGTTAAGCCAGGAAGCTGCAGCTTGACCTGGTCAAAGACTGCCTCAGATTGTGTATGTACATAAGAGGCCAAGATTCTTTTTTTTTTAAAAAAATAAAGTTTTATTATACATTTTCTTCATTTTATATTACAGCTTCAATTTTACAATCGCAATATACTGGTTGTATCAGTATTATGCATTATGCATTCTATTATACTTCCTATGTTCAACCATTTAACTTTTCTTTATACATATACCATATTTATCTTTCTTATTCCTGTAGTTCTAACTGGAGTGTGTGTGTGTATGTGTTTTCGTAGATTTTCATGTGTACAGGTATGCAGGTCTTGGCGTGTTTGGGTCTTTTCACGTGTAAGATTGAGAGTATTTTGGCGATGTTTCGATGAGGTCCCACTCGCCATCTTCAGGCTGGTGCTTTCAGCTTCGTGCTTATCTTTAATTTCCACCATCAACCTGTCCATTTCAACACAATCAAGTATTTTCCTTACTACCAGTTCCTCTGTGGGTGTATTTTATTTTTCCAATTTTGTGCATAGCTAATTCTCGCCGCTGTTATTACATGAAGCATCAAGTACTGAGTTTTCTTATATTTCCCTGTTAGTAAAGAGGTCAAGATTATTCCTTTAGCCCATTTCAAGAGTTTTAAGGGATGAAATGTATACTTTAAACCTAAGAAACTTATAGGAGAGACAGAGTGTGAGTGAGTGAGTGAGTGACAGAAAGTAGAGTGAAAATGTCAGCCTAGCCATTCTGGTAGGTTCAAAGACCGGCATAAACAATTCTCTTGATTCACATATAAGCCCTTGGCTTGTCCTTTCTGCTCTAAAATCTTGCTTAAATTATAGAAATTTATTTCTTATAGATTCTTAAGTTTCCTGACATTTTGTTCGATTTATATTGCCATTTGGTAAACCGTTAACAGAGACTTTATTCTGTTTCTTCTTTTTTCAGTTTGAGAGAAGCTAAACTTGGAAACCTTTAGCAGCTTACATATCCACATTTTTCTTGTTGCTGTTAATGTAATGTTTACATTAAATTACACTGCATAAACTTCTTTTTCCCCTTGCCTGCTGATGCCAGCAGAAAAATTAATCCAATTATTTTCCCATTCTGACAGAGTTACAGAGGCAAGACTGTGTGAAGCCCCAGCAAAAAGACATCCAGCTCTATGACACACCTTACGAACCTGAAGGCAATGGTGTGGAATCTGATTCAGAAAGTGCTGTGAGTCAACGCCTGAGAGAGAGCAAGTTGCCACAGGATGATGATAGGCCTGCAGACGAGTATGACCAGCCATGGGAATGGAATAAGGTCACCATTCCTGCTTTGGCAGGTGAGAGCCTCTGAAGGAAATCATTGCAGTTCTGTTTGTGTCTTGCAGGAGTTATTAAAGTATGGAGTGTTCTGGTTTAACATTTTATTGAGTTGCAAAATATTGTAAAATAACGAAGGTAAATTGAAAAGCATTGAGGAGGAAGAGGAGGAAGAGAAGTAAGGAAGGACTCCCACTCTCTCTGTTGCAGTAAAATAACGCATTAACATCAAATCACAACCTTTTGCTTTTTCATAATAATTTGAAGAAGCCATTTCTGTGAAGAACTACCAATCTACTCAGTAAAACCCAAAATCAACATTTCATTCTTTTCCACTTCTAACACGAAGTTCAGAAGCATGGAAACAAAAATACTTATGTTCTTTTCTTTTATCAAAGTAGTCAGTTTTGCCCTTCCAGCCAAATCCATCAACTTCTGCAACCATTTGTCCATAGTAGAAATCAAATGTCCTTCCATTTTTGTGCATACAATAGTCTTGCTGCTGTCAACATATATAATAACAAAGTTCCTTTATTTTCCCCAGGATTTTTCCATTAGGCCCAAAAGGAAAAGTTCTGGTTTCATTTTCATCTCCATTTTCAAAATTTTCTGTATTAAAATATGAATCATGCTCCAAAAAGTATGGAGTGTTGATGCTGTTTTAGAGCATAATAGATAATATAAAATAATAATATAAAACATAATAGCTGTTTTAGAGCATAATTTGTGATATCTAGTGTATATTATTGTGATCTAAGAAAATCAAACAGAAAGCCTTGCTGTTCAAAGCCAGCACGCTTCTGAACAATAGACAGGAGAAATTGTCAAGACTGGGTCATAGCTACAGGCACAGAATGGAATGTGCACTTTCCTACAGTGGACCATTAAAAGCTTTTTCTGGAAACAGTCATAGCTCCATATCTGAATCCTTATCTTGTCTTTGGTTTTAACTGGTAATACGACTAGGTGTCAGAAGATACTGGGGAATTGCAGTCTATCCAATTTGATAGGTAGTTTGTCAGGGTCAATCAGGGTAGCTAGGTCTCACAATGTGGCATCTGCACATAGTATAACCATCTCTTCAACTGGATCTGTCAAAGCTTCAGAACCTGAAAACAGGGTGAAAGAAATCATAGATAGGAATTGGTGCCATCATGGATAGATTTGTGGTTACAGAAAAATCCAGTAACTATCCAGTAACTTGTTTACTATGTATTTTGCTGGAGCCAGAATAATGGTGATATTTTCAAAGTTTTATGCCTGTTCCATATTTAACTTCACAGAAACTTAAATTTTCATAAAAGATTAAATTTTTGAGGAAATAACAGCCATAGAGGGAGTTTTTAATTTTCTCTTACCTGATGATACATTGCTTTTTGAAAGCCTGACAACCCAACATACTTTAGTACCAGTCATTTAGTTAGATTCAGATTAGCAGATGAGGCTGCTACACAGTCATTTGGGATATTATTCAACACACCTTTGTTGTTTTGAAATGCAATTAAGGTAGGAAATTGAAATTATATCAGCTGAAAAAAATGAGCATTAGATGAAATTTCAGGAGCTATTTTTAAGGTTGTTTTTATTGCAATGCAAATGTTACTTTGGCTTTCAGTATTTTGCCCATGGAGCTATTCTATTTAGTGGAGAAATTTCTCTCTCCTTCTCTTTCTCTTTGCTATTTTCTGAATGTCTATGTATTTGTAACACTGATATATGAATAGATTATTTATAGCAGATAGGATTATGCCTTAGATGTCCCCCAAATCTGCTACTTCAGAACCTTCATACCTCCAATAGGTACATTGCAGAGCATACTTGCCGTTCCTCATTACAGCCTTCGGAATTGAATCTGAATCATTTTAAAACACTCATTGCCCTTTAATTTCACATACTTTATTCTCCTACTAAAGCTTAACAACCTGATTGGCAGGAGGAACCAACTGCCTTCCTAAATCATTGAGATGCAGGCCAGAGTTGTAGATGTGTCTGCTGCTGTCTAAGGTATTGCCTTTCTGTGTATAATAAGCCCTGAGGAGATGTTACTTCATTTCTTTTCACTTGAAATCAATGCTTCGGTAACTCATAACTATATAACCAGATTTTGGAATGATTCTTCATTGTTAATTGAATTTCTGGTACAAGTATGTTGAGGCAGTTGCTGTTAACAGAAGAGATTCCCTAATCAGCTTTCTGGGCAGGGTGTTGTATTTTGGAGTTATGCTTAATTTGGTTGCAATTAATGAGGCAACATCTGTTTGTTAGAAAGTATTGTTCTGTACAGCTGAGTGGAATTTTTAACCTGTGTGAAACTGCATTTGTAGAAGATAAATAGCAATATATATCAGTGGTGACTTTTTCTGTGTATGCTAATACTTTCTACTGATTTTCTGCTTAGCTGAAGATTCTAATTAGCAGTTTTGTTCATCCAGTACATACTAAGAGTAAACAGGTATTTAGTGCTCAGGGTTGTAGCCACAAAGGAGAAGCTGAATGTCTTGTGAAATATTGTAGATTTGTCCTCTAATTTTTTAAGATGTCATAAAGTTTTAAGAATTTTCTCATTTGGGGCAAGGGAACATATGTGCACTGTGCTTAAAAGTTTGTGAATTGCTTTAGATTTTCAACATTGCATCAACATGACCTAAAATGTGGTCTGTTCTCTACATAAGTCTTAAAACTAGATAAAGAGAACCTCATTAAATAAATGAGTCAAAACATTGCAGTAGCTCTTGACTTACTACCAGTCATTTAATGAACATTCGCAGTTATTACGGCATCAGAAATGGCTGCTTGACTGCCTGCAAAGCACTTTCAGCCATCATAAAACATCTCTCCACTACCTCTTTAGGTAATATGACAGTTTTGGACCTTGGCAACCTGTATGTATTTACAACTGGTTGCCAAATGCCCTGTGATTATGGATTCTCCATTTGCAATATTCTCTGCTGGCTTCCTCAGAAAGTCAATAGGGAAGCTGGAGGAAAAGTTGCAAGCCAAGGAGATGTTGGATTTCAGCTCCATTCTCCCAGCATGACAAGGAAATTCCCCTCCCCTTCATGTAGGGAGGGGAAATCCTCCCACATGCTGGAGGAACAGACCTCAAATCTGGGGAAAATCCTAGCGGACAGTAGTCTGCTGTGCCATTCAGAATTCTGGGATTAGCTGTTGTTTTTCCCTCCCCTCTGGAAAGTTCAGAAAAGCTTCACTCATGAAGGAGAGAAATATGAAAGAAATATGGAAAAAATATGGAAATATTATAGGAAGGAGGATATTTAATTGAAAAGAAATGTTAAAGAGGTTAATTAATATTAATGGAAGATTGTAATTAACATTAATGGTTAACCTGAATTGGAATAGAATAAGTGATTTATATACTATTGTTATATACATATTTTCTCTTTAAGAACTTAATGTGTATATTAAGAATGTACCAAGCAGAATTCGATTGGCAAAAGTTATGTCTTATACAATAGAGGTTAGATATTGAATGTTATAATTGTAAAGGCATAAATTGAAGTTTAAATAAGATTTGAATGGACAAAAATCAAAAGATACAAAGGTGTCATACTTCAATCAGTAACTACAGGGGAAAACTTGTTTAATGAGAAAAGAAAATATGAAATTGAAACAGGACAGACAAAAATATAAATATAATGATTTGAAAGATATTGAAACTTAGAAAAAGATATATAATTGAATTTAGAAAGGAATGAGATAATTAAAAACAAGGTTGAGAAAACTAAGGGAAGGGGAAAATCATTGAGGAAAATGCTAAAATAGTAATAAGATATGGAATAGAATACAAAGATGAATATGAAATTGAGTTTGTGTCTGTATGGAGAAATGATAACCCAGGATCATGCTGTTCTCACTTGCAAAAATGTTAGTGAACATCAGTATTCATGCGAGTATTCTCCCTTGTGGGGCAGGGTGAGGGTCCAGGTCTCCTAAGTGTCATGGGAGGCTTGTACTCTCTTCCTAGAGATTCAGTTAACTATCCACACTGTTGCATAATGACAGCAACTGGAGAGTTGTCATTAAGCAAAGTAGTTACATGGCATTTCACTTAATGACTGCTTTGATCAGTGACCAAAATTCCCAGCCCAATTATGGTCATAAGTGGAGAATTTATTGTATGCTTTTTCATGAATCTGAAGGAAATGATCCAAAGCTACATATTTGTGTGTTGCAAAACTTTGCTTTCGGTAACAGGTGTGCACATTTCCAATAGCTGTTGATTAGTTCTGCTCATTAGCTTGAAGGAATTTTAGCCCATCCCTCCTTTCAGAACAGCTTGAAGGATATTGGTGAGCTTTCTCACACTTCAGATCCTTCCACAATACTTCTATAGGATTAAGGTCAAGAGTTTGATTTGGCTATTCCAAAACAATAGCTTTCTTCTAATGTATTAATTTATGAAAATAGGTCTTTGATAGTGAATACCCAGAATGCTGTTACTTAAACAAGGCAGATGAATCACATCTGATCATCATCCATTTATTAAACATCTGACTCTAATTTCTCTTTTAAATGAACTGATAATGGAGGTTCACATATTTTTGCCACACATAGATAGGTAGGTTTGGTTTATTTTCTAAATAAATCAATGAACAAGTATAATGTTTTTGACTCATTTATTTAATTGGGTTCTCCTTATCAAAATGTAGGACCTATGTGGAGAAGAGATCATGTTTTAAGTTGTATTGATGCAGAAATACTGAAAATTAAAAAGGCTTCACAAACTCTTCAGCACTACTGTATTCAATTGCTTATAATTAAGCCTTCTCCAACCAGTGTCTCAGCATGGCTATTTGGAAGACTGACAAGAATTTGACATTATTTTATTGTCAATGGAGGCCCAAAACTTTTTACAACTTGAAAATGACATCTTAACTGTCATCACTATTAACATTTGAACAGTCTTGTTAGTTTAAATCCCTTCCTTCTTTCTTTTCTTCCTCCCTTCCTGTTTTGGGCAATGTGAACTTCGTAGATTGCTCCATTCTGCTGCATGACC